TTCACTGAGTTACGCAAGCCCCTTCGCCACGACAAGGCAGTGATCCATGAAGGGGATTACAGTCAGTAAGCACAGTATTATGTTGTCCCCTGCCTGACCTTTTTTTCCCCTCTTTTTTTTCCCCCTCTTAGAGCAGAGAGAATGCTTAAACAAGCTATCTCTTCCCGAGCTGCTTTTCTCCACAGCACAGAGCTTCTCCAAAAAGTGCTAATCACAAATTAACAAGCTTTCCAGTGTGACCTTAATTAGTTGATTAGAACCTGGCTAGCAGCTGTTGCTTGTAACTGACAAGATCCTAATCAGTTTCACACTAAAAGCTTTTGTTTGCCTCCTAAGCGGCTCCAGGCTGAAGTGTGCTAAGTAAACAGCCAGCACTAGTGCATTCCTTTCCATGCGTATTACGCACTGGGTGCCTGCTTACTCTCTTGTAATCCCTTCCTCTCCAATGAATGTAAATACAAACATTAATTTCCTTCTTGTTAATTATCCCAGTGCTAGGATGAACATTCCAAAGGGCAAGGGAGTGGGGAAAAAGGGCTATAAGATTTGTCTTTTTACCCAGCTTCCTTGTGAGTTGAGTTCCAGAAACCTTCCCTGCCATTTGGGGTCACCCAGCTGTTTGGGGTTGTATCCCTCTGACACTGTAACGTAAAGGAATGCTGAAGTAAAACCATAAGCACAGTTGCGGTCACATGATTTTCACTTAATGACCACTTTGCTGGAACCAATTGTGGTCGCTAAAAGAGGACTACCTATATTGATAGCTAGGATTTAAAGGGTGACCTATTTAACTGTAACATCCATATTTAATGTACTACTAGATATTTCAGTTAGATAAATGAATAGACTGTTTATACTTACCATTTTGTCATTTACTTCCTGGTCATCTCCTAAAATTGCATCTGTGAGAGAAAAAGTGCTATTGTGCCAAAACTGTTCATTTCCACCTATCAAGCGGGCCTTTTCAAGCAGTACCTTAGCTTGCCCGTGGTTTTTTTCTAAATTAGCTAGTACAGCTAGAAGATAAAGGCATCGTGATACAGCACATGGATCATTCATTTCCTAAAAAGAAGAGATTTCAAATATGTTTTCTTAACATAAGTTGGAACATCGTGATCAGTAATACGCCAGAACATTCCATTCCATTCCAGTATAATTATTCAGGCTCCTTATATACTGCAAAAAACAGATTTCAGAACATATCCTCCAAGTTTCTATTATATATGACATGGGAAAACCTTTTCAGAATAATTTCAATTAATTTAATTATCAGGAAATAGAGAATAAGAATGCTTGCTTAAGCTAAGACAATTCAACTTCATCATCATGGAATTTGTTGTTTCTTAACCTAATAATAGTAATAATAGTTGCTAAGAGTCAGTCTTGACTCAAGGGAGTCTTTACCTTTCTTTATGAAAGAAGATGGCAAGTTCAGTTGCTGCAGCTTTAAGTAATTCTTTAATTCAAACAAAGTTCTTAATTTTTAATGTTTATTGAAAGATCTTAAAGATCTGAATGTTTCAAATTAGTATTTATTTATTCATATTTAGTTGATTTGTATGGCTGCCAAACTTGCAACAGTAACTCTGAGTAGTTAACAGCATATAAAAACATTTAAAAAAAAAACACAAAGCCACAGGCTAAAAGATGTGCAATCCCAGATTCATAACATATATTTTGCTGGTGGTATAGTCAATGAAAAAGCTCACTTTCTTGTCTAGTTTTGTTCAGTTGAACAGGCATGTGTCTTTCATAAAGCTCATTTCTGAAACCTTTTGGTCTCATTGATCTGGCAAAATGCCACTGCTACTCCTTGCTCACTGTTGCTAGATGACTGGGCTAAATTCCCTTCATAGTGCTGCTGTGCTAGGAACACAACTCCCTCTTGTTCTCCCTGTTGCCCTTATCGGAGAGAAAACATTGGATGTCCTCTCCTGTAGCTGTAAGAGGATTACATTATGTAATCTGTTCCTAAAAAGTTTTAAAAGATCAAAAATGGTATAAGTCACCCCTGTATCAGAAAAAGGGGTGCAAAAGACTTTGAAGTTGTTAGTCTGCTGAGACAGTTCTTTTTATTCCTTCGTTGTGTCTTTCAAAATATCATGGCTGGGTAACCAAACAAGGTTCTCTCATGTAATTTAAGAAGCTTTTCTCAGTTTAATGAGATGGATAGGAAGAAAGATTCTAAATGGTCATTGACAGCGATACCCAGAACATCTCAGAGCAACACACTAAACTCCCGAACATCATGTCTGGGAACACAACCAAGTCTTTAAGGCTTTCTGAAAAGCTGGCAGGGTCAGGGCAAGTCAAATCTCAGGGGGTATGGTCCAAAGGGTTGGCACTACTGTTTTAATGGATACATATAGGGTTTTTCTGGAAATTCAAAAATGAAATTTGAAAATTCTATATACCTCACACTTTAGGTGGTCTTAATTCAGCTCTTGTTTTGGAAAGCAATGGATGCTCTGTAGATACAGCTTTATTATTTACTTATCAAAATTATAAAAAATTAATTTTAAAAACCCTGTAATTTGAAAAACTGAAAACAAGAACAGGCCACTGGGAGTCTCTGACAATTATGCTATTGCTGATCAAGAGTTGTGCACCTACTATTGCAAAACTTTTTTTTTTTTTTT